ATTAATGCTAATGTGTATTTGCAAGAATAAATTGAGTGCGTGATTTGTCTCTGAACTCGACAATGTTACGCGGCAGATGCGTATGCCGATCGAAATCAACAGCTAACTTTTGTCAATGCTGATCCGAAGCCGCCTAACCTGCTTTCTCATGATAAATATGGGCGCTTGAACCAGTGCCTGTGTGTCACTCAGTTTGGACATTGCAATTTAGAGTCATTCAAGTATTGCGGGATAGATCGAGGGGACTTTGACAAGCCTGTGCCCTAAAGAAGAGAAAAAAACTCTAGATCTGTAAGGAAAATTGTTTCTTTGCTCAAATACGGGATATCGAATCAGTCCACCTTCGACTACGAGCAACCTACAAATTTCCACCGAAGTTATGGTTTGAAGAGACCCAGTTTGCCTAGAAAGTTTTAACTGTATTGAGTGGACGATGACTGTTCTACTTCTGGATTCGATTTGGATCTGAGCAAGGTGGAAAACTGAGTACAATCTCGATGAGTACCCATTTTTAGAATGCATGGAACTCCAAAATTTCAAAGCAGAGGCAAGTCCTTCTTCGTGATATTCTGAATTGACCAACCTTCAACAATCTGTGAACGATCAGATCAGCTTTGTTAGTTTCAACCATTATTCTCAGATAATTGAATTCAAGGAATTGTGTATCATTCACAAATAATTGCACTGGAGATTTTATGAATAGTATCTTGTTATAAATAGACTACATTCTATTTTTTTATTCTAAATGTTGAAGTTCATCACCCTAAGGTTTCTCATCTCTTTCAATTTTCTTTAGAGGAGGACGCGGGGCACAATTCGTCTCAATTCATTTAAAGGACAAGAAGTAAGTCCTAAATTTAGCTCATTCAGGCTAGCTAATCTGCAAATTTATCCATACTTGAAATATAGTTATGTCTTTACTTTCCTTCGAAGAGGCATTCATAAATTGACCTCATAGAAGCCAAATGCAGATTGCTTGTAGCCTTGACTGTAGATTGATGCGAATTAGCCATCGGGGCCCCGAAACGATGTGCCGGGGACTTGGTCGCACAAATCCACAGTCAAAGCTCCTAGGCAGACCTCCATTTGGATTAAGTGAAGTCATTCGCCTCTTCAGACGAAATGAAAGGTAGGCTAACATAGTTTGATTAAAGGTTTCTTCGAAGCCTAGCTTTACTTCATGTATACATGTAGTATTCCTGACGGTCAGCCGAGAGAATAGGGCGAGTGGAGCAAATGAAGACTAGAAAACCTGGGATCACGATTACATAGAATGACCAGTCCATCACAAGATACTTGAAAGACTAAATCACGAAGTATTGACCCATTCTGAATCCCTAAGAGTAGGCATTTATCAGAGCTTGGTTAGCAGTACTCCCTCAGAAGAAAATTATTACCTTACTTTGTCAACATGGAAAATCCTCACTACATAGGCTCGTGATCTCTTATCTTTAGCCTTCACATTCTGCAAACTCGGACTCGAGCCTATACAATAGTAATAATCCATACTGTTTTTGTCTATATAGGAGTTCAATTCTTTCAACTGTCATCTTCTTGTTCGCCTCCTTCCAAGGCATCTGCGGATTCGTGCTCCCAGTTTGTGATGCATTTGCCACTAACATACCCCAATGGATGTCTTTGGATCACAAGTACTATAGAGAGGCAAGTATTTAGCCAGGCGTTATAATGTAATTTGTCATTTTTCGCACTAAGTTTACGGAACTAATGAACCTCTTTCTGATAAAGCCAGTTTAATATGCAAACTTTTAGGCTGTATGGTATAGTTGCTATAGTTGCAGAAAATTGCAATTATTTGAATTAAAGATCTGTTTTCCATTATCTATGCTTTCCGGAACCAGGTGTTCTTCATGGCGCAATATATAGGTGCCATTATTGGTCTCGCCTATCTTCAGGTGTTGATTTTCCTTCTTGAGTTTCGCCAAGAGATGGTGAAGGAAGAGATCCATCAGCATCAGGCCTACTACATGTATGAGCTGAAGAGAATCAACATGGAAAAGCAGCTGCAGCAACAGCAGCAAGTGGTTCTTCCACAAGAAAGCAATCTCACAAGCTATGCAGCATTAGACAGAATAAGTGAAAAGGATGAGTCTCAACTTATAGAAGAGAGTGAGTTCTGAATTGTTCGCGTAACTTCTGTTTGGCTTGAAAAGACGGGTTGATAGGACTCGCAAATTGGCAATCATCTTTGATTACGATGAATACTTGCTGAGCCTCCGTCTATCACATAACTGACATAATCAATGTAGGGTATCAAGCTTCTAAATATTTCCAAATAACTAGTCAATATGGCTCGTTAAATGGATTCACTAGCTTGAAATAATTTAAATATATTTACTCTATTCGTCAAGACCTAGTTGTTCTACGTACCCTGTTATAATGGTACATATAATACGACAATAGAAAGTTCAGCACTTGCCCATCTAAATTAAAGGAAATTGTCTCGAAAGCAGAGCTTAACGGAAGGTTTCCTTAAAGCCGAAGAACCGTTCGCCAAGGGGAATCCTTTATCGATTTCTGATAGGAAGTATCTTCGAATCTCTTAAGCACACATTTTCAATACAAAATGGAAACAATGCTATCTTCCATCAACAATACTGCCCTCAATATAAACACCCTAAATTGGCTTTTATCCTTAACCAAATTGTTCCAAAATACCGAAAGTTATTATCTAAGGGGAACATTCTCTACTTGAGCCATAATTTTAACTATTGATGACATAATATGACAATTAAAATACTCGCAATTAGTGGTCCTGAACAACAGATGAAGAGTTGCCCGGTTTTGCTGGCATGGCAAATATAAAACACATATAGACCTCTTCAAAACAGAGAATATGGACTTATCTAGTAATACAATCCAATTCGAGGCCCGATTCTAAAATAAATTAGGCTTCGTTCATCAGGGTTAGAAGAAACGTGGATTACCCTAATATCCTTATTTACATCATCAAGGAATTGGGCAAGACATGATAATATCCTAAAGTCCCTTTAAAATAGACAAAGTGGATTTCTCCATCCTAAGGACATTTTATGCATATTGGTTGGGTCCCTAACCCATGTTGGGGTTCACTCTGCAGACATCAGCTTCTCCGTGGATCAGGTGAGTGTTCTTTCTTGACAGAATTAAAATACCTTCAGTACAACTTTAATCAGCAAAGGCCTAATTTATTTCTCCACTTTTAGGTTTGAAACTTTCCTTGAGGCGACCCAGCATGGATTACAAGGTAGGGCTCTTCATATGACGGAAATGCTCCCATCTTTATCAGTTGACTGTGAAAACACATACCATTTCGTTTATTTTGACTTATTTCAATGGGAAAACTTCGAAGAATTCAAGATGCTGTATACAAACGAATGTTTGGAGCCATTTTGGCAGAAAAATCCGAAAGCTTGTTTGAGTTGCTTAGAACAAAGAGGTGTCTGCCTGGAAAAGAATCGTTTCAGTCAAGTACGAAGCCTGATCGAAACCGGAACAGCAAAACAATATTAAGGCTCCCGATACTCAAGCACCAAACTATTAGTAGCGCCAGAATCAGAAGCCTATTGCATTTAGTAGCCTATTGGTAAAATATTAGTAGGTAGAGGTTTAATTTGTCATGTAAATAATGGCAAATGTTGGTTTGACAGTTTTCCTCTTAATACTCACATCCGCGGTTAGAATCTCAATAGGGTTGCTGGTGTGGCGTGGGTT